CTGCGATTTTGACTGCAACTTTGGTGCGACAACACTGCAATTTGCAGCGATTTTTCCATTTTACTGGCTTGTAAACTGAGTTAAATTTTCAATACTTCACTCAAGTTTACAAGCAATACAAAGATTTTGTTCTAATTAGGTTGTTTACGGCTGTTTTCTGACAAGTGATTGGCTGTAGAAAAAAATTCCCCGACTGTTCGTCGCCTGTTAGTGACGTTAGTGATTTTAATACGAGTTATGTCATGCAAAATGGGTCTGAAACTTTCTGTATTGAACTACCACTCGCTCACAAATTAATGAACTGCATTTATAATTCTATTGTAGATTTATACCTGTGCAATATTGCTTTTAAAAACAACGTGAAAGTGAAGAATTGTAAATATTTAATAGCACTGTAATTCAAATAACCGCCTTGATAGCCGCGCGTTGCATGTTGGTAAAATGACTTTCAACCAACATGCTTTGCGGCTCTAGCAAGATTGAGATTTTGAGTAGCTGTACGATTTTAGTCTGCTGCCTTGCTCGCTCGCTGCGGCAGCAATAACGAAGAATTGCGTAATGTAAATTTACCAAAAACCAAAAACACTTTACCTGTCATTACAATATTAAGCAAGCATAAGTACTTTTTCAGTGTGACCGCGACGTGCTTAACATTCTAGCACTTGCTTGAATGACGTCACAAGCAAGCACGCTAATCCTTTGCTAATCTGCAAGCACAAGCGCTAGTGTGACCGGTGTGACCGCGACCCAATTGATATGAAATCTGATCTTAATTTACATGCATGTCAATGAGACACACATGTTTAATATCTGTCACCTCTAATTGCCCTTTAATCCCTGGTCTTTGCTACCTCAATATATATTGCTTCTTCTCAGTCCCATTCACAGCTCACTAGTCGCTGCGAGTAATCACTGTGCTTGATATAATTTGTGCTTGTTACTGTAGTTCTATTTGCTTTTAATGCCCGCAGCAATCCCTACCTTGCAGGAACCCTAGTTATTATGATTATTACTAGAACAATCTGTTGAAAAATGAAACGGCGGTAAATTTTCTCAAGTGCGGATTTTAGCAATGGGGGTTATTATTATCACTATTATTCACATGTATTCAAAGGGCCGTGCTTAATACTATTTTAAGCCATTTAAAACACTCGTTGTCGTGTTTTATCAGACATGAAAGTACTTAAATATTACAATTATACAAATTAACATACATACTAGAGATTTTACAAAGTTAAGAATTGGAAATTAGTTATCTAGATGTTTTTTGAAGGAATTGAGAGATATAGAGTTTAACCTTACTTTGATCATATGACTGCATGATCTAGACTATTCCAGCTCACAGCTCCTCTTTAAGAAAAACTTCTCTTGTGGAAGTTGGTTTTGGGCTTATCTATAACGAAAGATTTATTGTTGCTAACAGGGACGCCGGAACGATAATAGGGCAAAGGGGGGCGGACGCACACCAAGGGCACCTTTACTGAAAAATTTTTTTTCACTGCAAAATTTTTTGGCGACCTCCTTCCCCCCCCACTCCCCCCCCCGTCGCCAAAAAAATTTCGGTCAGTGTACCATTTTAAGGGTCAAAAATTTTTTCCGGACATACAAAAATTTTCCGTGAAGCCAAAAATTTTTCCCGATATCTTAAATTTTTGCCATTTCTTCAAAATATTTTTCTAAATTCCAAAAATTTCCCAAAATTTTTATAAATATAAACTATAAATTACATGAATCTCGTGATTTTCCTACAAAAAGCATCGTTGGAAATGTGATTTATCACGTATTATTTTACAACTAAAAGGGCACTTCTGCCCCCCCTGGCAAAAGGCAAGGGGCAGCCGCCCCCCCCCCCTGCCCCCCCAGTTCCGGCGTCCCTGGTTGCTAAGCAGTAATAATTAAGGGACCGATCATAAAGTAACTGCTAGGATGGGCCGGAGGAAATAAGGATGGGCCATAAAATTATTTTCATCAGTTTGGGTGGATCATCAATTTTGTTTTTTGTGCAAATGGATGGGCCATGAAAGACATATAGCCTGTTTGCATTTACTATAACCAATTAATTTGTTCTATAAAGTTATGAGAAAGTGACTCAATGCATGGTTTGATCAAAGTGACTGCTATACAGTACATATTCATGCACAGCAGGATGGGTCGTGAAATTTTTCCAATGACCTACGCTTTGAAATTTTTTCTAGGCTCTCAGGATGGGCCACCGTTTTTTTGTTTTGGAAAACCTATTTTTCCCTCCGGCCCACCCTAACAGTTACTTTATGACCAGTCCCTAACGGGGATATTATCGCAAGTGTTAAACATTTGGGTCAAATAATTTGGTGCTAACCTGATTTGACCAGTGATGTCCATATATATCTGGAACACGAACTTCAGTCATTCGGTCCCCTGTTCAATGTTGTGTGCCATTTTTCACGTCAGATTTGATGTGGTTTGGTATTTAAATGGAGAAGGTTGGAGGAGGGGGGGGGGGGGGGGGGGGGGGGGGGAGAGGAGCAGTAATGCGTTTAACAAACAGTAATGATCCACTTATACACTCTAAAACAGAGACTACTTTAAACTACATGTGTCCCACCAACATTTGAAAGTCAGTTGTAGTACAGGCTGTTCCGCGTAACAAGTTGCTTCGAGCTTGTTGTCATCAACTTGAACAACTTGTTACGCGTGCAGACGAAAGCAGACTTGTTGGAACACTGACTTGTTGCGAATCTGTTAGTTTCATGCCTTCATCAACCTTGTAATAAGATTGATTGATTGATTGATTGATTGATTGATTGATTGATTGATGATTTAATTAATCATCCACAAAAGAGGAATCAATGATAGCAACTTGTCCTAGACTTGTCAACAACTTGGAAGCAGTGCGAACACAGATGTTTACGTGTTTAAGCTAAATTCAAGATTGTTTTACAAAATAAACATGTTATTACAGTAAGTATACTAAGTATACTACTACACGAAATGTATACTGATGTTAGTTCTACACAAGATAAAAAACCTCAACTTGCGAAGGAGAGAATCTGAATGTCCCAGCCAAGATTTTGATAACCTTGCCGCTGATGCCAGAAGGAGGTTGGTAGGTCGTATTAAAATATGTGCTTGAATGACTCGGTGCACTCGAAATAGCATTGTCAGCTATGTAAAGATCATGACCATATCCAAATATTGGTCCGTATCTGTGATCCGCATAAATTGCGTGCCAAGTATTCTCATCTTTCAGTGGAGCCGTAAACGGCGGGAGATTTTCTTTATTTCGTAGAGAAAATATGAAAGATCCTCCGGCCTTTTTCCAGCGGCGAAAACCTGTTGTAGAGCAAACATTGTTCGGTTTATATGTGTAGTTAAGAGGCATTTTTTCTATGTCGCATGTTTGAGATGAAAAGAGTTCAAAACCTAATTTTTTTGGGGCGTTCCTCTCAAAATTACTTTGTTCTTAGCTTTATTTTGTAGTTTACATTTGAATGTTTAAATGTGCATGTCTGGTGGTTGAGAGTAAAAAGGAGTGAAATGTTTTATTTTCCTGAGAGTGGTAAAAGTACGATAAGTACCATAGCAAGTAGACGACGACGATTTTATATGGTCATTCCAAGTGAGATTTGCGTTAATATGGTTCAGATTGCCATATAGACCCAACAATCTTGTTGCCCATATTCGCTCTTATTTCATGCAATTTCAAAAATCTCATCATTTTACAGATAAAGCACTAAACATATAGGCCTACTTTTTAAGTTTGTTTGCCGCTTGAGAAACGCCTGTATCAAAAATAAAAAATTGAATATATAGTCATAACCTGCAAGTGGAAAAGTATATATTCATTAGTTTTGAGCGCGTGTTATGCGTAAAAAACAAAAGATTCTCCTCTTAATAAACAGAAAACATTTTCCGTGTTTCTATGCCATTATACAACCACGCGTGGAAATTTTGGAAAACGAGAAATAATCAGTGGGAAGACGAGCCCGGAGGACGAGTTTTTTCCACGTTTGGTTTTATGAACTGATAACTTGTTTGGTGATATAGCCGTTATAGAAAAAACTGGAGTTAGTTGGGGGAAATGGCTATATATAAAAACTTTTCTTGAGTTATACTACTGTATAAAAGAACCATAGCAAACATTTTTTCCTGTGTTTGTATACAGTTATTGAAATAGCATAGTGTGGCAGTTTGGGAGAACTCAAAATAAGTGTTATTCTTTAAATCGATGTCAAAATACGAAATTTCGGCACACTTCTTGGCAGCTTTGTGTTAACCGCGTAGACAAAAACAATAGAAAAGGACTGGAACTGACGTCCAATAACTCTTCAATTTCCGCCATCTTGGATTCACTTTTTTTAACTCGAATTCTCACTCCAGGTATATAGGGAGCTCACTGCTCTTACCTTCCCAAGAGGCCGTAGCGTAGCCACCAAAGACATATTGACCAACTTTCACTAATGTTACTGTACGTTTCTTGTAGTCGCAGTTTGAGTGAAAGGTCTTGGCTGCCCATCCGTCTCTAGTCGCTCGCCAACAGAGCTTCCAAGTATTGTTTCCTCCGATCCACCTTTTTAAGAATTGCCCATAATCTAAGGTTTCTCCGGATAATATATTCGATTCCAACAATAACGGAACTTAACGGAGAGAAACAAATGAAGAAATTATCTTGGTCGTTGAACAATTAGTCGTTTTTCAGTAGTTTCAATGTATACCAATTTAAAAAAATATAAGGACTGCATTCTCCTTACAGATCCACTACACTGATGCCGATCTCTTATTGCTCTAGTGTTACTAATGATAATAGTGATAATGATTTATCTAAAGTCGAAAAACGCAGGAAGTGCATGGTCGCCCAATCTTCCGAGCCAGAGGCTCATGTTATATCCGGAAGACCAAAACCTGGAACTCGACTGGAAACCTAATCTAACAACAGGAGGAAACCTAAAGTGAACTAACTTTATTTATACTGGATATATATAGCACTATCTGTTCTAAACTGTTCTTCCTAGTAAGGATCATGTCTTATCGATCCACGATCTTACCACAAGAAGAAACTTAAACTGCTAACAACCTCCCCCCCCCCCTCCCTCCCCCCACACCTCCCCAATTTTTTATTGGATTTGAAAGATTTTAATTCACACTCTGAAAAAAAACATTAAGAGGGCGACCCCCTCCCTTCCCCCGTTGACGGCGGTACTGCTGCCTCGTACCCAGGCGCTTTAAATAATTATACATGAAGTATTCAGGCATGCGACGCGCGACTCTTCCCATCAGCCCCTTCGTCCGTCTCTCCCCACTACAATACTTCATGTAAACTCGTCATATGCGCATCGCTGTTTTTTTACAAAGAGACGCCTGGGTACGAGGCAGGCGGTACTGTATATTTATAATTTATCCTTTTTACTCACGCGGTGCAGTGGTTCTTGGATTTGCTCGGGTCGTCGCGTGCCTATTTGAATAGGGTTTGTTACTGCTTGATCATGACAATAATCGGCACAATAAAATGTTTTATTATATCAAATCATGCGATAAAAGATTACTAAACATTTTTAAAAGGTTGAACGACATTACGACATGAGCTACACGTCGTTCTCAAATCTAAAATTGGGTTCTAATGTATTTGGTAATACAATAAGAAAGCCTGACTAAATATTATATTCCGTTCATATTATATTTAACAAATATAAAACATTTTCCATGTTGATATAACTATATATCAATACGGAAAAATGTTTTATATTTTTTTATAATATAGCAATGTCAAAAGCCCGAAGGATGAGAAAAATTTCCGTGTTTACGAGCGGCGGAAAATTTCCCGTGTTGACATTGAGTTATATCAACACGGCTCTTAGCCAATCAGCGTTCAGAATTTACAAATGCTATATTATAATTTATTATATAAACATAAGTGTTATATAGAGTTTTTGGCCACTGAGAAAAATCGTATTTAAACACACGTAAAAAATACGATATTTTTACATGCGAAAATATCATTTGTTGTAAAACGCATTGCCACGGACGTTTTATTGTTTTTCACTGAATTTTGTTTATATAATAAACAGAAAAATACATGAGTGCTTGAAAATATCAGATTTATTTCGAGTGTTGAACATGATATCTCACGAGTGAGCGCAGCGAACGATTGAGATATCATGTTCAACACGAGAATATACGTACACCCGTGTATTATTCTCTATTTATTATATAGTACAAAACGCACAAGTTGTAACAAACCTGCAGCAGACTTGTAGCAATGCTGTTCCAACAACTTGTCAACAGGATGTGTTCGCACTGCTTGTTCCCAGCTTGTTGAAAAGTTGTCAACGGCTTGTTGACAACTTGCGATACATACAAGGTTGCTGAGCTCAACAGACCTGTTACAAGTTGTTCCAACAACTTGTTATCGTCCTGCAATTCAACAAGTTGTCAACAAGTTGTGAGTGACAACCTTGTAGCAACTTGATAAAACAACAGCATTGTTACAACTTGTCGACAAGCTTGCTACAAGCCTGTTGCGAACACATCTTGTTGACAAGTTGTGAGATTTTTACGTGTGTAGAGAGTGAGATACTGAGAAATACTCAGTGACATATTTCCCATATCTTCACTAGTGAAGATATCGATCACGTGACTTTTAGTATTTATACAATTTTTTGCTTGGGACTATATAGGCTAATAAACAGAACATTACACGGTGGCTTGAAGGTATGACTTTTATCTTCTCGTATTGTTTAAAGTTAAAAAGTTAAAGTTAAATCAACTTTATTTCGTCAGGGTAGTCACGTCAGTTCAGAAGAACTGGTATCAATGTGAGCCCTGAATACTAACTCCCACCCTGTCAACTTTCCCTGTGGGAGGAAACGCGGAGTACCCGGAGAAAACCCACGACTTTCGGCAGAGCATTGACTTACTCTTTTCACATTAGGACTGGGTTCCAGTCGCAATGAGAAGTCCTCATTGAGATTCGAACCTGCGACCTTAGAGGTGAAAGGCGAGTGTGCTAACCACTTCGTTTCCTGTTGTGCATTTTTCCTCTCTTGTTTTCACCACTCGAAGATAAAAAGTCATATCTTCGCGCCGCCGTGTAATATCCTCTATATATATATATTTGTTACATTCAGTTCAATAAAGTTTTTAACATCGATCGACAACCGTTTCGCCGTAATCTACCGACCTCCTTTTCGTTCAGTATTTGGTCTAGTAACTATATACAGCTAGGGTGTATAAAAAACTGAACAGATTTGAAATTGCTCCCAATTTCGCAAAACAGCTATTAGTATCCAATGGAATCCGCATCTTTGTGTATTAAACTTTAGTGTGTTCGAAACTATACTGAAAATCATCTTTCTAAAGAACCAGTCATAAACACTGAACATTTTTATTCCAGAAAACCAATCAGGAAACGTGTAAAAAATTAGATAAGTACTTACTGATTTGTTTTACATGTATCATTCATAAGATTTTGTATCTCTTCCTTAGACAGTGCTTTGTCGAAGATATAAAACTCATCCATGAAACCATTTAGTGGTTCACCTCCTTGGCTATTGACACTGCCAATGAAAGGGGAAATACCAAGTGGCGTATTTTTGGCAGTCAATTTAGAGTCTTTGTTGTTTCCTTTCCCCTCAAACAAAGTGCCATTAACGAAAAAGTTGCAGGTTGTGATTCCTATAAAATAATCACAAAAGAAACAAAGACATTATACACTTCATGTCTGTTCCCGAGAGAAATGGTATTGTTTTCCCGAGACGAAGTCGAGGGAAAGACTCGAGGAGAAACAAAACTATTTCCCGAGGGAACAGTCATTAAGTGTTTTGTTATACTGTATATAGCGACGAAAGAAAAATCAACAACAGTCATACAACAATTATATTTCATGACAAAAACTCTATAATGTAAACGAGTTTAAAACTAAAATATAACCTACTTAAACGGTTTCAGCAGCATATCCTGTTTCCTGTTGTGCATTTTTCCTCTCTTTTACATTCTTTATTTTAACACAAACTTGGAAAATCGTAGTTTATAAACTTGCGATTTGTCCCGCCATTTTGTTTATTTATATACGTAGCCGGTTGGGGCGGGCAACAATTTTTCACTTTTTTTTATTTGTTTATTTAGCTTTGTCAACTAGGGCAGGGTCACCACAACAGCATATGCCAATTACTGTGGGCCCTTTTACCTAACCCACCCTGTCAACTTTCCCTGTGGGAGGAAACCGTAGACTTTTACTCTTTTCACACGAGAACTGGGTTCGAGTCGCGTCGAGAAAGTTCTCACTGAGACTTGAACCTGCGACTTTAGAGGTGAAAGGCTGAAGTGCGCTAACCAAGTCCCCACCGAAGCCCCAACCAAATGACCACTTATCACTAATCACGTTTGGTGTTCACCCTAGTTATCTATTAAAGTTAGTTCTGTTTTAGAACGCCAGCAATGACGATATACCTACCATTTGTGTAATTATAACTAACTGCCACATGTTGCCATGCTCCAACTTTTAACTGAGAAGCTTTCTCGAACGTCTTGCATGAATTTTCCGATGTCGCAAACCATCGCAGATAGTCATCTTTATAAATTCCAAAATACAAGAACTTTTTTTCCTTGCTTGCGTGGAAACTTGTAAAAATGGTTCTTTTACCTTTCCCCTTGATTTAGAACAAGAAAAAACAAGATAGTATCATTGTAATATTTATTACTATACAAGTATTCACTGATTGGCTAACAGCTGCATACAGTGATATTTGACATTCGCACAACCTAGTCACAGAGAGCTAGTAAATAAAGCAAGCTAGCAAGCAAGTGCATGAGGAAGTGCTAAAATTGACGAGATTGGACGAGGTTGAGCAAAACATCGTGATTTGTCTGTGGTGAGCAGATCAATATTTGCTGATGACGAAGGCAGAGGCAAATAATTGATCTGCGAGCCACCGACAAGTCACGATATTTTGCGAGAACCGAGTTCAATAATTGTTTTATCATTCTCTTATAAAGCTTCGTTTTATCTTTCGTTATAAGACATTGTGACTAGGAACACGTACAACGAGCTTTTCACACAAACGTTTATTCACAAAAGAAAATACTGTAGTTTACACAACCATTGTTTACAAAAATTGAAGGCAATGCGCGTGCTCAGAGTGTTATTTACACGCAGTTATTTGCAGGTAAATTAACGAATCAATAATGTGAATGATAATCATTCTTATTTGCAACTGAGAGCTAAGTTGAATCACGAAGGACGCAGCTCAACCTGATCGAGTTTTAGGCCTTCTATAAGGGCGCTTCTGGCAGCCACCTTTCGACTCATGTGTGACAACGGAGCACAGCTACGGTGGAAAGGTCACTTATCCCAAGTCACCTTGTCAACATTCCCATGCAGTGGAAGGAAAACGGAAAAAACCCACGACCTTTTGTAGAGCCTGACTCTTTCCACGTTGCATGTATGAAACAACTACACACGTAAAAATCTCACATCTTGTAACAAGTCTGCCAACAAGTCGTCAACAAGTTGCGTCCGCACTGTTTGTCACAAGTTGTCAACAGGTTTGGAACAACTTGTTGACAACTTGTAACAACCTTGTCGAAATTACCAGACTTGTTGCAAGGTTGTTCTGACAAGTCCGTTACATGCTTGATCTAGCAAGATTGTTACAACCTTGTGTTGACAATCTTGTAACATCCTTGTTATATCATGGCTGTAACAAACTTGTTAGCACAGTCTTGTAACAAGGCTGATGATGCCATCAAGCTTGTTACAAGTTGTTAACAGCTTGTTTCAAACTTGTTATAACAAACTGGGAACAAGCAGTATGAACACAACTTGTTGACAGCTTGTGAACAAACTTGTAACAACTTGTTTGCAGACTTGTTACAAGCTGTGCGTTTTTACGCGTGCACCAGGTGATAAAATAAACCAGTCAGATGGATTTAGTCAAAACAAAGTGTAAATAGAAAATGTTAAATTACATCGCATCTTCAAGTCTATTAAATATATATAAATATATATATTCAAAAAAGGTAAACTCTAAGCGTGCAGAGCATAACGGGAGCATCATTTAATCAGTTTAGAAATCATATTTGGGGCCCATTGCTGAGAGACATGGTAAATATCTCCTTACGAGAACAATTCATTCACAAATAGCTGCAATATCCAACTACCAAACTTGAAACTTATGCTCCCATTAAGCTTTGTGCAATTAGAGTCTAAGGATTGAAGTTTAGAGTTTAAGGTTTGCAAAGGACAACTTTTTTGAATTGGCTGTATATATGAACACGATCATGAAGTATGTCAGGAAGAATTAGGCTAACTTGCTATAAGTATAAGAAAATATGTCGTTGATACCATGGGAGGGGAAGGTGCCAAGTTTATAGCTATATCACAAAGTAGTAAAGGTTACATTAGCTGTATAAAGAAATTACCTCATATAAAAGTATCCAAACGGCCACAGTAATCTGCAGACTTGATCTTTTCACAGATGTTGCATTAGGAGAAGCTACTTCAGTGATATGTAGTGGTTGAGAGTTGAAGGTGATTGATTTATTACATTTTCCCTCTTCCTCCACAATGTTTGTACTATACATTCTGGCATACCTGCCATTTCCTGACCTATCATAAACGTGTGTTTGCGTCATGTTGTCAAAATCATAGTAAAGTAAGAGGTTCTTCCTCAAATCTGCAAAGAAAAAATATTTAAAGTTTGAGTGAGTTCAAGGCCTGAAGATCGTCTTGAATATAAGGCGTGAAACTTGAGTAGCAATAATTAATTTTAAGAAATAAATAAATATATATAATTGAGTGGTCAGAGAGAGCTTAATTATAACTTCTGCAAAATGTGCATGTCTATTTCAATATAATCTCTTTAGCAACACGATCATCTCGGTTGGATCTTGGTGCATGATTGAACAGACGCTTTATGATCGTAAATCTATATCTGATTTTACAATCTTTCGACTAGCTAATGAATTTCACCGGTCGAATACATTACATGCATAACATGTACCTTTAAAGGAAAGCGTGCTATGAAAAACCACAAGAGAGCTACAATTGAAGAGAAAGGTTACCATTGGTATAATAAAGTCAAAGAAATACATAAATCAATTTGAAATAACTAATTTGTACAGGATAGTTTTATCAGTTCTTAACTGTTCTGTAGACCGGTTTTGAAGAGGAAATTGTCAATTCTTTTCAAATAAAACTTGTCAAGGAAAAGTTGAAGAGGACAAATTCCGTCATCAAAGAGACTTAGTATCACAACAGCATATCGCAAGAATCGGACCCCATGCAGTCACCACAAATTGTCCGGACTTTGGGGGCATAACCCCCGGAATATTTTTATATTTTTAGGTTAGGGTCTGCAAAACGCTATTGCATGCCTTTTAGACACGTTTTATGATAATCTGAAAGCCACAGATTCGGTGTATTTTATGCCGAAGATGAAAACATTAAGAGGTTACGCCACCCCGACCCCCTGTTTCTCCTCAGTTTTGAAAGAATTACAAAATTGGTCTTGAGGAAAAGTTTGCATGGGGGAGCTAGGGGTTCGGACCCCTCATTTTCCCCCGTGACTATACACCTCTGCCAGTCACTGAGGTGCAAGGTACCGGCGAAGCACTGTGCTATCAACCCGCCATTCCGCTTATCACGAAAAAAGCCCACGAACCTTGATGATGCAGTCGAATTCGGACTCTGGCCGCTCCCAGCTGGATCTACTGTAAAATGGTATATAAATATTGGTCCAAAATTCCATCTACTAAAAGTTGGAAAACTGTTGCTACAGTAACAATGACGATCCAATATGGTCAAAATATTGGCTTTCATCAACGAAAGTTATGGCTTTCATCAACGAAAGTTATCGGAAAGTTGCGTTTTTAAATGCACAAAACAACTGTTGTTGAACTTCTAATTTATAAACATTGTTTTCGAAGAATGCTCTTGTTTTTAAAACTTATTGACTGAGCTTCGGACAACAGGATGTTAGTTTCGTTTGTATATATATGGATCTCGCACACAGACGAAAAACAACTCGAATAATATCCTCTCACTCAATCTATAACACACTCACATGCACACACAAGTTCTGAAATTATTATGAGTAAGTATAATTCAAATATTTCACAAATATTTACCCTCTGCTTCTCGGCACTCTGAACCACTGCACCCATCATCACAACACTTTTGACTTCCGCGACATTCGACATCAATTGAACATAGTATAACTGGGGGAGGACATTCTGGTTTTACTGGTGCAATTGGACATTTTCCGACTGTTTGGAAAAGAAGAACTCAACATGAAAAACTGTTTTTGTCATATTTTACCCCTGCTAGTGACATACGAAGTTCTGAAAATTTCCCGCCATTTTTATTGTTGCTTTGAAAATACAAATGGTCTTTGATTCGTATATAAAACGAAATTAACGTTGGAAATAAAACGAAAACATTTATCACATCTTATATTACATCTTGAGATAAGTAATATTCAGTCTAGTTTTATGTTTGTTTACTATGATTTTAAAAAATATCGCTTTTATACTGGTCTTTCCCGTGCTTATTTACAGTCGTCTTTGTGTGTATTTTTGTAAGTCCATATAAAACACTCGTGTCAAAAAGAGGGGGGGCAAGGGGTCTCGTCACGAAATCACGAAGATCATTTTTCGATTTCACGAGTCACGAAAAACAAAATTTCATTTTCACGATTTTTAGAACTACACAGAAGCGTAAGAAAGTCTGAAACCATTTAACACATACTGACTTTAACATTAGAGCTGTCTAAAGGACAATGGAAATCATTGCGAGGCATTACGAGCATCGTACGATGGTTCACGAAGTTTACGAAGAGGTACGAAGGTATGCGATAGCGACGTTTACCGATGAAACGAAGAAACCTCAAGAACTAAGACAACCGCGGGAAGCAAATTTATAAATTTTCCCCATAATATTACATTTGGGCCGAGTTTTAAACGTAAACATTCACAAGTTAGGGTAAAATATTTGTAAATTCAAGACCATAGCTATCCTTTTAGCTCTTCACGATTCACGGCACGCATATTAATCACGATTCACGGAATAGTATTTCTTTAAATCACGAATCACGAAACACGAATAATTGCTAATCACGAGTCACGAAAATACCCTTGCCCCCCTCCAAAAACAATATCTCACTCGTTCGCCGCTGCGCTCACTCGTGAAATATTGTTTTGCCACTCGAACATAAAATCCATATCTTCTCGAAACCGTCTAATATCTTCAGAAGTTCACTTAGCCATAAAGCCAGTTAAGTACTATTTAACATACTGTACTTTAAAATTTAGTTTTTACATACGCTTTTGTGTCTGCGACGCTATGGGAGCAATCTGTTGAAAAATGATAACAAATGCGCCAATAAGACACCAACTTGGCTCAGACATCTTTAAATACTAAGATTATAAATCCTTTGAGAAAATAAACAGGTTACGATTTCGCGCTTCGATCGACAAAACCAAATTCTTCGTTCGATCCCAAAATGTCGCAAATTATACAGACATTTAATCCGAACATTTAATTTGCCCCGGTTTCGTACGTGATCTACTGAGCGGTTCCTGAGAGCGCGCACTAGAGATTTAGGCGGAGTTAAGCTCAAATTTCTCAAGTGCGTATTTTAGCTACGGGGGGTTGTTGTTATGAGTATTATTTATATTTATTTTAACGGACGGTAGCCTTTCAGATGATCTGCTTCTCAACCACGCTCACTATATCTACTTAAAATACTCATTAATAATTAGTAATGCATAAACCTTGTGGCAAATCATGTCAGCCACATGTCACGTAGAGTGACTTTATATCTGATACTAGTTTACCCACAGGGTAGTGAATGCTGCCTTGGTATAGCATTGTTCCCAAATCTTTAATATTTTAAAAAACAATTAGAACAAGAAATATTTGTAATGAATTGGAATCATCCATAATTAATTTAATTAAACATCATCATTTTCAAGAACGTACCAGGGGTTAAAGGGCAATGACAATGACATGCAGGTGACATTAGTCATGTGCGACTGTGCGTCTCACTAAATTTGCGTGTCAAATAATAATGTTTATCAAAGAAGGCAAAAATATATACAAGACAACCTCACATGTGGAAGCTATTCACTTACGCACTGCCTTGTAGTGCAGTACAAGTACAAATACAAATGATGAAGCACTTTTAAATCCTATAAAACATAATTAAATCCATACGGCACATTCAAGATTTTAATACTGTATTTCAGACACGTTTATACTGCTTGGCGCATTCGCTGAGTTATATTCATTTATAGTATACACAGAATGTTGAAAGCACCGCGTATAATGGTGAAAGCACCGCGTATAATGCTCAAACCAAAGAGGTCGTTTCGCGCGAAAAAAATCGCTGGTGGAAAACCGGCTTAAATGTCTGCTCTCGAGGAAAATAGAGGAGGGGGGGGGGGGCAAGGGCATTTTCGTGACCCGTGATTAGCAATTATTCGTACTTGAAATAACATTCTGTGAATCGTGAAGAGCTAAAAGGGCTAGCTAGGGTCTTGAATTTACCAATATTTTACCCTAACCTATGAATGTTTACGTTTAAAACTCGGTCCAAATTTAATATTAACGTCAAAAAATGAATAAATTTGCTTCGTATACCTTCGTACCTCTTCGTAGACTTCGTGAACCATCGTAAGACGCTCGTAATGTTTCGTAATGCCTCGCAATGATTGCATGATAGTTCTTTAAAAGCTCTAATGTTAAAGTCAGTAAAATGTGTTTGTGTTAACATCGATTTCTGCTGTCTAGAAAATCGTTAAATAGTTTCAGACTTTGTTTTGTGATTTCGTGACGAGATCCCCCCCTTGCCTCCCCCCTGAAATAGTTTGTTTTGTTTTCCAAAGAGTCTCAATGTTTCCCGAGACGAAGTCGAGCTATATAGGAAACATTGAGATTCGAGGGAAAACAAAACCAACTATTTCCCGAGGGAAAAGAAATTAAATGTTTTGTTATATAGCGACGAACAAAAATCGACATTCAACAACATTCAACTGACAATTGTATTTCGTGACAAAAACTCTTTAGTGTAAACGAGTTTAAAATTAAAAGAACCGACTTTTAAAAACGGTTTCAGTAGCATATCCTGTTGCCTGTTGTGTCTTTTTCTTCTCTTTTACATTCTTTATTTGAACACAAACTTGGGAAATCGTAGTTTCTAATTATGCTAGTTGTGCCGCCATTTTGTTTATTTATGCATGCCGGTCGGGGCGGGCAACAATTTTTCACCTGTTGCCCGGCGGGATACACAATCACGTTTGGTGTTCACCCTAGCTATATAACAATTAACAATTATTCACCAAAGTGGAGGTGAATAATGCTGAATAATGCAAGAAGGTGAATAATTGTTTTAGCGTACAAAGTTGTCCTTCATGCAGTATAGCATTATATGAATGATGTGTTCGAGTGAGGCCAAAAGCTAC